AATTGTTTCTATTTGAGTGAATGAGTTTCCTAGTTCTGCTTTGTCTGTCAAATCACTTTGTAAACCCTGTTTTAAAAGTATTGGACAAATAAAGTTACCATTGTAATATTACCAGTATCAAGGGTTGACTTTTTTTTACTTCAGGAGGTTTGATGAATTTTAATAACTGCTTCACAGCTTGCTGTTTCCCCTATTTACAGTTTTGGACCTACGCAGGTGAATGGCTTCAGGCTGAAGGTGTTCGGAGCTGTGAGGAGGAACCTCATGAAGCTTTCAAAGAAAATGCCTCCACGGCATTAAAAGAAATGAATGCATGAATGAAGGAATCACATGTCGTCGGGTTGATTTGACAGCAAATCACTTTTTGATGAATCGTCCCACACTGATGATTGTTACTACAAACAGGTTTTCAAAATTTCAAAACATCTGCTAAAAACCTGAAGATCTGAGGAGTTTAACACATTTCAATTGTTTACAGGGATGTTTGTTAAAACCAACATGGAACAGAAACTGTGTGGAAACAAAAAAAGAGAGTAAAATTTACCTGAAGCTTGGAGGAAGAAAATAATCTGCGGCACAATGAGAAACAGAAACTAAAGACAGACGTTAATATTTAACCATTCAGTATAACAAACAAACCTTTGACCCGATGTCCTTCTTATCAACAGTAAAAATATATAGACCTAATTAACTGTTTGACTTGGGTTAAAGTGGCCTCAATTCTGTGCAGAATAACAAAGTATGATATCTACCTTATATCATTTTCATCATATTATTATCATTAACTATAATCTTCAGACTCAGTCTACGTGGTTACGTCTTCTCCATCTGTACACATCTGCATTTTTGTGGTTTTTCTCTTCACATCCTCTGACGCTCTGTTGGATTTAAGTCTGGGTCACTTGGGGTCAGTCGTTATCTGTCACTCCATCACAATATACATGAGCAGTACATGTCCAGGAACAATCATCCTATTCTTCGTCCCACGTAAACAACATGTGATATTCTTTTTTTCCTCTCTGCTACTGCCACATACCATAATAATCTCAGGTCAGGTCTGTGGAGATGATTTGACAACGCTCAAGTTCTGGGAAACATTCAGATGTTTGTGTACACTTCGCAATCCTGCTTGATTTTACCACAAAAATAATAATGTG